ATTAAATTGATTAAAGTTGTGTAATTTAAAGTAAACATTTCTCGAGGGATCGACAATCCGGACTTAAAAGGTCCACTTTATTATTTGAACACGACCCGTGCACTTGCGGTAGTATTTTAGCGAACAAGGCTCATACTCCATCTGTTGATCTTAAAGTAATACCACAGCGTGTGATAGATAAGAATCGATCATTTCTCCTCTTTGCATAGGAGTAAGGTCCTTAGCCAATTTATCCCATGAGTGGTTAAAATAGGCATAACGCGAGCTTGTAGCCGAGGTAACAAAAGGAGAAAATGTGGATAAGATCCTTGAGTCCAATTCATCATGACTATGAGGGCTAAGCAAGGACTCAAACATCAAATGAGGAAAGGAATCCTGGGACCGAGATTCATCCAAATTTAATTGATTTTTTTCCTTTTCCTTTTAAGGTCCACAGTGTGGATGGGTGAAGAAGAGACATGGTTCATAAGGTACGACCCTTGAACCAAAACAATAATGGTCCCCTTAACCCTTGTAGAGGGTGGGCTAGGAGCTTGAATCCTTTAGAGGAACGTAACTTGCCCATCCAAGTTCGTTATAGCCTAAATTGTTATGTGAAAAAAATCCTCTGGCATTTAGAAGGGTTCACATAAAAATTAATCCACTAAGATTTTTCAAAATAAAGATATTTATAGATTATTCTAATTTCTATGTGTACTAAACTATTACAATTACATCATTTTATTAATTTTTTTCATTTTCTTTGAGAGTTTTCTTTGTTATATCTCATTTTCCTTCAGATAAATCTAAAATTCCAGAGTATATCTTTCCACGGTAATAAAAAGAAAAAGGTATTAAATGTTTTATCGTTGATACCTAAAATTAAAGATAAACAATTTAATGCTTGAACTTACCCATACTGGTTTGAACACCAATGCTGTGAAAATTGGAATTCAAGGTATGCATCAGTCTCCCAACCTTGCAAACCTCAGAACTCAAATTGAGGATGGGTGCTACAGGGCGAAAAGTTCATGGAAAGCTCGACTGTAAACTATTAAAGTGGATAGCCTGTACCAAATCATCATAGTTAAAGAACATAAAATTTTCAATAGAAAGGTGAAGAATAAATTGTGCTTGCCATAAGTTCAAGGCATAACAACCAGAAGGATAGGATCATTTACTTGGAACTCCTAGTTGCCTTGAATGAAGAAAAAACTCTTTCTAGTTGAATGCCTAGACAGGTCCTAGGAAAACGAAGAGAAAAATAATCAAGGTAATTGGCACAAAACGTCCTTACTTTTGAATGTTATTATGCAAAACGTCAATACATTTCATTTTTTTTTTTGATATTTTTACATCTATTTTCATCTTTCTTAACGGAGAAGGTCTTTTCATCCAATTTCTCAATAAAAAATATAAAATGACAATTATACCCTTCTATTTAAATAAAACAAAAAATAAAGAACAAGTTGCAATTATACTCCCATACTTTGTAAAAAATTGCAAATGAATCCAAGTAAATTATTAAAAGAGTAATTAGCACAAATGCCCCTATTTTTCAATATTGCTTTGCAAAACATCCTAAATTTTATTTTTTGGAATTTTCACCATTATTTTCACATTTCATTGCGAAAAACATCATTTGCATCATCTTTTTTTTTTTTTAAATTAAAAGATGTAAAAAGATAAATATGCCTTCTATTTAAAGAAAACAAGAAATGAAAAGAAAAATAAAGAACAAATTGCAAGTATACTCCCGAATTTTTCAAAAAAGTACAAATAATTTTCAAATAAATAATTAAAAATAAAAAAAAAATCACTTTCCTTTTTAAATTATTTATTTGAAATTTATTTGTACTTTTTTGAAAAATTTGAGAGGATAGTTGCAATTTGTTCTTTATATTTCTTTTATTTATTTTTGTTTATTTAAATAGGAGGGTATATCTGTTATTTTACAGCTTTTAATTAAGAAAATTGATGAAAATGATGATTTTCACAATATATTATGAAAAAATGGTGAAAATGTCAGATATGAACTTTTTGCACAATAATAT